GAGAGAGAGAGAGAGAGAGAGAGAGAGAGAGAGAGAGAGAGAGAGAGAGAGAGAGAGAGAGAGAGAGAGTTGGAGCATTCAGTCTATCGCGGCATTGTAATCATCCTAGTACTCCACTTCGTCCTCCTCCTCCTCCTTCCGGTCTCTTCTTTATTTTCGTTTGTTTCTGACTGGCCGTTTTCCTCCTCCGCAACCTCCTCTTCCCAGCCTTCTTCAAGTTCGTACAGTACATAAATGGAACACCAGATCGTGGCGGCCCACGTTCCTTCATCACGTGCACTTTCATCTGCCCTGAATATCCACACACGCGGATCACAAAGCCCTGGCTCACAGCTCTCTCTCTTCCACGTCACATCTTGCCGATCAGCTAAATGATGCACTCGCTCGCACGTGTGTGTATGTGTGTATGTGTGTGTGTGTGTGTGTGTGTGTGTGTGTGTGTGTGTGTGTGTGTGCCAAATACCAGGCATAATATGTGTTATATTCGGAGGAAGACAGTAGTAGAGGTGATGGATGGCAATTTGCGATGGAGGGAGGGAGGGAGGGAGGTGTCGTGGGTGTCCTGGCTGTGCAGCGTGCGTGGGATGGATTTGTGAGCGACTGGGACAAGGCTGGATACTGCTGGAAGGAGAGCGAGAGGTAGTTCAACCTGCCCTAAAATGGAAGTGGAAGTTAATTGCCTACCTTCTTCCCCCGAATACAACGTACGGTCATTATATCTGTATTTGAGGCAACTTTCAGTCTAGTTACAGCTGTAATGACCGTACGTTGTATTCGGGGGAAGAAGGTAGCTCAGTGGGTGCAGTGGTACACCCATGAACTGTTGAAGTACAGACCCGAGTTCGAATCCAGGGGCGTGGTCCCACTAGCAAAGAGGATCGGATAGAAACCCTGAATCTGGCCACGTTGTATGCAGAGATACAGAAAAGCAGTTCGATCTCGATTTCCTGCTCCTGTCCTCGAACATGTCCAGATTCAGGCATTCAATCCGATGCTCTTTTGCTAATGGGACCACGGCCCAGATGATGGAACTTGATTGATGAGTCAAACAAAATATTTCTGAATTGCCTGGGGCCGGTCAGCTCAATGATGATATGTCAAGGCCGTCGCCCTTAAAATTAAAAAAAAA